GCCCCCCACCGGGGAACTCCAGGCCCTGCCCCCCCCCTTCCCCCCCCCCCCCAGTCTGCTCATAGGTGGACTCCCGTAACAAGTAACTTCTGCTAAAAATACACCCTGGACTCCCAGCACTACACGACAGAACCCAAACGTGGCTTCCTGATACAGGCAGACTCATGAGCATGACTTCAGTCTCTATAAAAAAAAATCCCACACCCAAAGCTGGGGCTCGTAACTGCCAGGCACTACAAGTTTAAGAAATTCCCCAGGGAGCAGGGCACCCCCACATTTTAACAAGCCCAAAGGCTGCAATGCTTGCAAGGCTTCAAAGCCCATGCAGGCTTATGAGTCAATGAGAGCAAGGGCTATTTGGGAGCCTCAGGTCCAGACAAGGAAAAGAAACAACTTCGCATACTAACCCATACAGCACATGCGGCAAACCAGGTGGGCGTTGAACGCGTGCTCATCTTGGTAACTGGGCCACATGGCGCCCCTGCGTCTGCTCACCGACCCCGTCTAACAGGAGGGGTCCCAGTGTACCTCCAGCTAGTGGCCTGTGGACCAGCTGCAGCTTCTCAAGAAGGGTTGTGAGAACAGAGACAGCCAAAGGCTGTGAGATGAACAGAGACAGGAGAACGAGAAGTGGCTCCACCCACCACTTCCTACTGACCTCCTCCTTCCCCTGAGGTCAGAGAGGAAGCTCCTCCCCAGGGCACTTCCAAAACCTGGGTTCAGGTCTTCAGGCAAACAGCATGCGATTCAAAAGCAGCACCAGCTCATTGTTTCCAGACCAGCAGAGCATGCAGAGGTGGGAGCTTCACCTAGAAAGTCCCGTCAAAGTCTGAAGTGAGTGAGCCCGAGCGGGCAGGAGCTAGCCTTTGAGTTACCCTCCATTGCAAAGCAGAGGCTTACAACCTGGTGAATCGTGGATGGTTGCAGGAGAGCTGGTAACCAACGCGGCCTACTGCCAAGTCAGGAACAGTGCATCCATTGCCCAACAACTGCTGCTCGGGCAGAAGTACATACGAAGCTTGGACGACCGAAGAGGTCTTATGGTGGGACAAACTGCAACAGTGCAGGCTGGACGCTGCTGCCAACAGATGCCTGGATTCCAGAAGTGGGAAATCCACTTCCCCACGTTCACAGCAACCCAGAGGGAAAAGTCAGTCACTTCCCAGTGACTTCACCTCTTTTCCAGAGTGGCCCAGCCCCAGCCGGCCTTGCGGGTACATTGCACGGCACGTTTTATCAACCTCAGAAATACCATTTGCCCACTGCTCCTTTCACTGCCCTCATCCAGCCAGGAATGGCATCCCCAAGTCCCCTTCCTCGTCCCAGATCCTCCCACTTTGTCTTTACAGTGCACTTAACTCAGCTGTGCCAGAAATCCCTTTATCCATCAGTGGAAGGCTGCCTGCTTGTTTGTCCAACTTGTTTTCCGAGTCTTGGCTAATTGTACCAGACACTGGAATGCTGAAGAAACAATGGAGGGCTTTTTCATTCAGTCGGCCCAGCCCATCTATTGCTTCTTCACAATTCTAGCCCAACCCGGGACAGAAAAGCCACGCCTCTGTGGATGACAGGACACTCCAATCCAGCCCCACACTACTCCGAAAGGCCTTGCTGCAGATAAGGGCCTAATCACTGGCCCTTTAGCTCCCTAAATAGAACAACTTCTTCAGGCTAATGCTGCTTTCAATCCTATTCCTGAAGGCAGGGAGGGAGGGAGGGGCAGCACCCAGGATAGCAAGTTTCCAAAGATTAGCCTATCAAAAAGACTATCAAAAAAAAAAAAAGAAAGAAAGGAAGCAGGAGCTGGCCTAGCAGACTTACTCACTTTAAACAAGCCCCAGAACCTGCCTCAGTTGCCTGACAACTTCCTTCACCCCCCAGCGAGGCATGTCTCCCACCTACAAACTGCGAATAATCCAGTTACTGTTTACTAATAACAGACTCACAGCCTACTTTATCCCTCCTTGGCTAAGCTCTCAGTCACCCTGATGACCTGTGACAAGTGTACTCAGTTTGTCCCTTCTATCAAACTCTTCTTAGCCTTGGAAAAGGCCTCCTAGAATTTACCCAGTCCTAGGTAAAGGAATGCGTAAGAAATAAAAGAGAGAGAGGAAAAGGAATGAACATTTCCCAATTCATGCTTAGTAACCGCTTCCTTTACCAGATTTCAATTCCTTTTTTTTTATTTTTTATTTTTTGAGAGGTTTTTGCTATAGGGCGTGTGCGCTCACCAGAAAGAAAGAGGCTGAGAGATAGAAAGCGAGAAATCACCTCCTAAGGGGGATAGCCACGCCACAATCCCTTCTCCATTCTCCTCTCGGGATCTTGGGCACGCACGCACACAACGCCCGAGTTTAAGCCACAGGGTCCGGGACTCAAACTGCGGTCGACTACATGGGAATTCAGTGACATAGCCATTACGCCAACTGCTGGTCCCAGATTTCAATTCCTTAAGTGCAGGGACTGGCTTTTGTCTTCATAGCCCAGTCTCTAGCACATTCAGAAGGCGCTCAACAATCTAACCTGAAATTAACTGAGCATCTACCGCTACTACTGCGCCTGTGTATCATTTCACTTAATCCCAACAATTCTCTAAGGTCTTACCACTTCCACTTTAGGGATAAAACACTAGGACTTAAAAAGGTTAAATAAACTGAGCAAGATTACATATCCATCTGCCTAGTTCCAAAGCTGTGTTTAGGCCCCTGCTGTCCGAGACGGACCTAAACCAGAGTAAATAAAGGGGTGGAAACGTTCTGTCTGTACCTGGGGAGGTTAAGAAATAAAAACACTTAACCATGGCTGATGAGATTTAGAGCACATTGAAAATGAACGTATGAGGGAACTTCTGGAAATGCCAATAATTTCATGAAACTCGAAAGAATCGTTACTGGATAAAGTTTGAGGACGGTGGACCACTTTAGCTGTTTGCCCTGACGGCACAGCAGACTGAGGGAAGGAGGGGAGAGCCCCGGGGTCAGGGTCCATCTGGCCACCGGGAGACTGCCCTTCCCTGCAGATTCCCAGAGGCCCTGAGCCTCGAAGGGAAGCCGGTGCTCTGCCGGCAGTGGAGGAGCGGACTTCGATTGGGACAGCCGGCTCTTAATTATCCAGAGCAGATGGGCTGGTACTGTCACCATCCAGGCCACTCTCCCGTTTCTTTGCCCAACTTCTCGTCACTTCACGTTAAAGGTAGGAAATGAACTGGCTGCCACCAGCAGATCCTGAAGTGGTTGGGCAGAGGGCAGAGGTTCAAGCCAGTTTTCCCACATGTGGCTAGAAGTCATCTGAGAATTCATAGCTGTTGGCTTTCTTTTAGTAGCACAGAAAATTGAAATTTTTTGAATACCAAAACACACATTATTAAGCCTATAAAAGCAGGCGCAGTCACTTTCCTTCTAATGTATAAGCAATGATTCATAATACACAGTGTCGCTAGCTTTCTACATACCTCCACATGGGCTTCGATCACATTTCTTCCTAACTATAAAGACAAGCATTTGTGTTTTGACCCAGCAGCCCATAAGAAGATACTGTCTATGATGACAGCTTCTGTGAAAAAATTATATTAACAATAGCAAGCTATTATTTAGTCCTTACTGTGTTTAGAATGTGTTCTAAGAACTATCTCTGAGCAACCATGCAGCATTATTAATCCCATCTTATAGATAAGGAAACAGAGGCCCAGAGAGATTAATGTCACCAAGCCAGGAGAGACAGGGCTAGAATAAGAGCCCGGGGGTGGGGGTCCAGCTCCATCTCATTCCGCACAGCTTCCAACTACAGGCTGGAGACCCCACCGCCTGAGTCACAGAAGATTAGTCTCTCATCAGACAGACGAGAAACTTGAGGTCTAGAAGAATGAAGTAATCTGTCCAACATCACAGCGGCATGGGGACTTAGAGCCTGATCTGACTCCAAGTTCAGCTGTCCTATCACACTGCACAAATCTAGACAAAATAGAAAAAGAAAAAAGGGAAGGAAGGAAGGAAGGAAGGAAAGAAGAAAAAGATGAAGACTCCACCTTGATTAAAAACCTAATGCTTTAGGGGTCAGCTGGTGGCCTGGTGATTCAGGTGGCTGGATCCAAGGGGTTCCAGTCTTGCATCTGGCAGCTTGAACCACATGCCCGGCGCCTGCCTGTCCAAGATCCCGAGAGAATAGAGGAGAAGGGACTGCAGTGTGGCCATCCCCCCAGGGATGGTTTCTCACTCTCTCTCCAGGGAGCAAAGGCAACCTATAGCCAAAACAAAACAAAAGAACTAATGCTTTGGAACCAGCAGATGGCGTAATGGACTCCCGCAAGGCCAACAGAAGTTCAAGTACTGAACCTGGAGATCTGAAACTCACGCCAGCATGTGTGTGTGAATGCCCAAAATCCCAAGAAGAGAATAGAGAGAAGGAATTGTGATACGGCCATCCCCCTGAGGGGTGATTTCTTGCTTTCTGTCTCTCTGGCCAGTGCATGCGCCCTATTACAAAACTTTCTCAAGACAAAAAACTAATGTTTTAGTTATTTCAGTCAAGATATTAGATATTTGACTACTTATTCGAATATTTACTGAGTACCTTTACACATGTATGCTTAACAATTTTGTAGATAATACAAATAGAGGACGTAAAGCTAATGCTATATATGCAAAAATTAAAGTTCTAGGAAAACTCTAAAACTTAGAAGGCTGCACCAAATCTCACAGGACAAAATGTCACTAGGATACCTGGAAGTCTTGTGCTAAAGTTCAAGGAAACCAAAGGCGCAGCAGGGACTGGACAGGAGACAATTCATGTACCGGTTTGGACATTTCGTAACTGTGTAACTGATCTGAAGCTTAACATAAGCCCCCAACAGTGTGAGAGCTGCTTTAACAAATACAATAGAAACCGGGATGCAGTCCTAGGTTACGCTTCATATAGTCCAGATCCAGGGATTACAGCTAGTCTTTCCAGTGAGACGCTGGAAACGGAAAGAACCTTAAGGAATCAGATTATCCAACCTTTTCATTTTGCAAATTAAATAAATACCTTTAGGGGGGGGGACCTTATTTCTATGATCACAATGTGAGATATTAGTAAATTAAAATATAGGATAACTCAATTATCAGTCATTATCAGTCATTTAGCCTACCTTGGGCCACACATCGAACTAAGGTAAGCCCTCTATATACACAAATGAATGTATCCTTCTGCTACAGATGATGGCTAATGCTATTCTAATTCATTCATTATTTATTCAAATTACGTACTGGATCGTTGGAAAAGTCATGATGGATTTTTCAATGTTTTTCTATGCGAAAATGCATCATGACTTTTCCGACAAAATAAATAAATATATATTTTATTTATTTTTAGTCCTTGTTTTCCTGAGAGGGACAGAGAAAAGGGGGTGGGGTGGGAAGGAGTGAAAACCACCCCCCAGGGGGTATGACTACACCACAACCCCTTCCCCTCTCTGGATTCTGGGCATACACGCATATGTGCCTGATGTGATT